GTGTACCCCCTCCCCTCCCCGATTCCCACAGCCTTCTGAGGGAAGTCGCCGTCCGGCTGCACCCACCTCTGCCCCCACTTCTGCCCACGAGCACCAGGGCTGTGCTGGACTCCGGACACGCAGCAGATGTGTGCGTGTCAGCTGATTGATCCACATCACCCAGGCCCCTTTTCCCTTCCAGACTCCACGCCACCTTCCCGGGCCCCTGTTACTCAGCCCTGGCAGGAGGAAAATCGGCCGCAGGCCAGCTAAGAGCTCTCCAGACCCGAGAGCCGGGCCTGATGGAGGGGTGAGCTGTGCGGGGAGACGTGCCGCGCGCTCCCAGCGCTTCGGCGCCCGGGGACTCACAGCTTGTGGGTGTCCCTCCATAAGCCAGTCCTCCAGGCACCCGGGGCGCTTTATGACAACATCGTCGGAGTTTGCAGAGAGGCCCAGGGTGCAGGGCAGTTACGCGTGTCAGAGGGCCCTGCAGCCGCCCGAGGCCCGCGGCACTTCCAGGGCGGAACGGCCAGATGCCAGCCACCCCGGGAGCGCAGGGCCGCCGGGCTCAGCCACACAGCGAGGCGGCCATGGGACCCGTGCGATTAGAAAGTGCCGGCTCGTAAGGACGGAGTGCAGGGCCGGGCCCAGGCGTTTGTCACAGGAGTCGAGTGGGGGGCCGTGGCGCCCCGAGGGGCTTTCAAGTGATTCCCCAGGAAGGACTTCCTTCTCAAAGAAGCAGTCACAGTGCACACCGCCGGTGTCTTTGTCCCCAGAGCTGGATTTGTGGAGCTGATTTCTACCAGGCTCAACTGGTTTTAAAAAGCAAGAAAAAATGCATGTATTTTCTCAGGGTGACAGGGACGACGTGTAAGCAGACGGCTCTCTCCGAGAAGAGTGTTCTGATGAGCAGGGGGCCCTGTTCTCAGTTTCCCCTCCCATTTTTGTTTATAACGCGTGTGATTGCACAAGCTGAGAGGATGCTGACTCGCGGGTCTGGTGACGCAGGATGGCTGCAGCCCCTGCCCGGAGCCCCCATGTTGGCACAGGACACAGCCGCTTCCTCCTGGCACGGCCCCCGTGCAGACTGGGAAGGACCCCAGGCCACGTGGCTCTGGCTCGAGCTCAGGTCGTGAAAAGCCATCTGCTCGTTTCTGTCCACAGCACAGGGCTCAGTCCAGCAATTAGAAAGCGGAGCCCAGGGTCACAACCCAAACGGGCCACCTCCTTAGAAGTTCAAGCTCCTCTCCCCTTCCTTGGGCTCTGTGGGGAGGCGGGCGGGGGGGGGTGGGTTTCTGCTTATTCTCTGGCCTCCCTTGCTGGGCGGGGCTGACGGTCCCAGGTCCTGTGGGCGGCTCTGGGGAGCTCCCGTGGCTGCGGTCTCTTGGATGAGGCCGTGTCCTTGTGTCCCCATCCTCTTTCTCACAAGAGCTGCTCTGGTGGGTTCTCCAGACACTGCCCTCTTGGCTTCCTCCAGAACGGGCCCTCGCGTCCCTCTGGCTGGACCAGACATCCCGCCAGGGCTGCCCGCAGCTAGACGTCACGGCAAATCCACTCTGCCCACCTTGGGCACTGGCCCTCGGATGCAGCGGGGAGAAGGGCTGGGTCCCAGAGCTGCCCCTCAGACTCCTCCTGGCAAACTCGCTGCTCCCGTCTCACACGAGCTGACTGGCTGGTGGGATCGGGGCCAGGGCTGAAGCAGAGACGGAGCTCCGCGGCCCCAGGCCTTGTTAGACAGGGGGCTCCGCGGGACGAGTGGGGCGGTCGTCGGAGAATGCACTGTCGATCTAATGGCATCACCGCGCCTGCTCCACGGCTGGTTCTGCCCTGAGAGGACAACCTCATTGCTGAGGGTCCCCGGGTGTTTAGGGCACCTGGTCTCCACCGCACAAAGGGCCTCTGAGTAGAGGCAGGAGTGGGCAGCCCCACCCAGAGTCCCGGCGCCACGCTGCACGCCCACCTCGGCAGCAGGCGGGTGTGGGGCGCATTGTTCTTGCAGGTTCTGGAGATGCTCGTCGCCCGGGGCCCTGCTGTCACCCTGAGAGACAACACAGCAGTCCCGCTGCCCGTGCGGTAGAGCGGGGTCCGGGTTTACAGCTCGGTGACCAGTGGGTGGCTCCTTCCCCAAGGCCAACAGGGAAGTGGCCCGAGGCGTGTCTCTGGGTGGTGGTCACATCTGCCCAGGAGCGCCGCGGTCGGCTCTGTGCGTGAAAGAAGGTGCGGTCCAGGCTCTAGACGCACGTGCGTGAGAAGTGAGGACCGCAGGAGCCCGCGAGGCCTGGCTCCCTGCTCGGCCTGTTAGCCATCAGCTCCACAAAGCCCCGTTTAACAGCTAGGACCAGCCTGCTGGCCACTGGAGAGAGCCTGCAGGCCAGACCACCCTTCAGAGTGACAGCGAGTGGGCAAGGGCCTCTCTGAGGTCGTGACAAACTCTATCCATCCATCCATGCCGGTGACAGATGGAGGGGAGACATCCGGGTTGGCTCCCCCATGCTTCTGCCTAGTCCAGGTGCAGCACCTCTGGGGGGCCTGGTGCTGGTCCACCTCCACCTCCGAGCGCATAATGGAGGGTCGGAGTGAGGGGCTTCCTCACCGAGGGCTCACGCAGGCTGGATGCCGCTCTGAAGCCGTGAGTGCAGGTACGGATGCCGCCTGGGCGCCGTGGCTGGGCCCCATGCGGGAGCTGAGCCAGTGCATGCACACACACGTACACACAGACACAAGCGCACACACACACACAAATGCACACACACACACAAACACACATGCACACACACTAGTACACGCACATACACATATACACGCACACCAGGACACACACATGCACACACATTCACATATGCACATGCACACACATGCACACACACACACACACACACACAGGCACACACACACGCAGATGCTCCTCGTCCCTCCTTCCTCCCTTCCGCTGGGAGGACGTGCCCCTGGGACCTTCCCAGCTGCGCTGGACAGACAGGAGCCCCAGGTCAAACGACCCCTCCCAGGCTCCCCCGGGCGAACTAGGCGTGGTGTGTGGCCGGCTGTCTGGGCCCTCCTGACCATGGCAGTAACACAGCGGTCAGCCCTGCTGGCCAGCACTGCCTGCTCCCTACCCCAGGGCGACGCGGGCATCTTCCATGAGGATGAAGCTGTTTTCACATCCCGTAACCATGTTTTTGCCACTTTCGCCCCCTTCCTCCCAGACACTCACTTTTCAAAGCACCGTGCAGACCGCCCGTGGTCGAGCCAGAGTCCACTTTAGTGACCAAAAAAAAGTGGAAATGGGAGGTGTGACCAACATGGACCCCCTGGGGGGGACCCAGGCCCCAGGTGGCCTATCACGGCCACCAACTGTCAAAGCCTAGGAAAGCCTGGCCTTGCCGCCCGCATTGGCTCTTGTCCTCATCGGGGGCCCGTGTCCTGTAGGTCCGTGACCCATGTGGCCTGGTCCGCAAGGTGTAGCCAATTACCCTGGGGATGGAGTTGCCAGGGGACCTTGTCATGAGGCTGCAGTGGAAGCGTGGTCAGCTCTGCCTCCCGGATGCATGCTTTGTGCCACCACCTTGAGTTCTCAGGCCATTGTTTGCCCCTGTTCAGTTTTTCCAAACTGACGTGACCCGTGGATGCTCATGACGGTTGCTTTGGTCCCACAGATAAAAGCAGGGAGCGCGGCCGAGCGCCCTGCCCTCCGGCCCCGACGCTGCAGGCAGAGAGGAGGAGCCCGGCGGGGGACACGGAGGACAAGGTCGGTGGGCGTGAAAGACGTGAAACCCCGGGCTGGGGGCCCGGGGGCCTGCGCACCCTCACACCCGTTTTCCCGCCTGGCTCTGGGCTGTGACGCTTTGCAGATCCGCGTGTGAAGCAGGGCCAGACCCAGCGGGACCGTGCCAGTTCACTGCAGAGCGGGAGGGAGGGGCGCGTGGGACCTGGGCAGAAGCAGCCTGGCCGTCCCCTCCGCGTCTGGGTCCAGGGCAGTGTGGGTGGTGACCCTGGCCCCCACGGGCGCCGTCCCCGCATCTCAGGAGGCACGTGCACGCAGGCGGCCAGGCTGTCGCAGCCACCTGGCACGCGGGCAAGGCTTCGTCTGCGACTTGTCTCCCTGCCACAGAAAACCCGACACACGTTTGTCTTCTTAACTCAGTAGAGTCTCCGGTCCTTGCCTGCTCCTTACCAAATGGCCTTCGCTGGATCGCCCTTGAGTGTGTTTGAGGCATTTACCTTCCCGTGAATCACCCACAAAACTGGCTTTGATTGCTGCTTTGAAAGTCACAAATGGCACCTGCTCTGATCTGTCAGATACGCTGGAGGCCGCGGGTCTGCCCCCGGGCCCTGTGAACGTTCGCCTCCCTCCGCCGTCACCGGGTGTGTCCCTGCCTCAAGCCTGTGACCTCCCGTTCCCGCCCGTCCGCCACAGCCCCCGCCGCCCCACCCGGGGTTCACGGCTCCCTCCTGCCCTGAGTGCCGATGCCGGACGGTGTGAGTGGATCAGCAACGCGAGTGCAGGCTGAGCTTCCGCTCCCCACGCAGGATTTCTCTAGAGGAGACGCACTGCCAGGCCGGAGTTACGCGTTTGCTAAGCAGGTCGTCTTTCTTCTCTCTTAACTACTTTCTTCATCACGGGGCTCCGCGCCTCTAACTCACTTTTATTACTTCAGCGTGCAAGGGGAGTTTTATGCCACGATTAGCCGTTTTTATCACCACCAGGAAATCATGACCAGCACGGGCCTCAGGAAGACGACCTTGGTAATTAGCCCTGGAGAACGCCGGCGTCGCCGCGTGTAAGTGTTAGTCCCTGTCACAAACCACGTCCCGCCAAGGTCCCTGGAATGATCGGCTGGGGCCACCCCCTGCTCAGAGGCCCCTCACTGGGTTTCATTACTCAATTAGCCTCGTAATGAAAACCGCCCCTAGTTTTTCTGATTGGGTTAGGGACATAAACTCTGGTCCTAACACTCATAGAAATTTGAACACAGCTGTTTCTGGACACTCCTGACATGTTTGTTGTGTAGCTTGAACTCACTTTCTCACGGGACACGAGGACATTTCCTGTTACCCCCGAGTTCTGAAAAACGCTGTTCCTAAACTCACCAACCTGCGGATAATTATATAAATCACAGATCATTTGTTCAGTGTGATTACCTGTCACGGTGAATGAAGGGCCACAAGCAGACCCCGGGATGGACACATGCGGCCGAGACCGCCTGCCACGGCCCGGGGCTTCCTGGCCTGAGGTCGAGGAGACGGGCTGCCAACGGCCCCGCCCAGAGTCCACGCTGGGCCTCGCCCGGATGAGTGCTGTATCCCTGGCCCTCCGGCCCGTCCTCCGTCCCCTCCTCCCGTCCGTCCTCCTGCCGGCTCTGCTGACACTGGCTGTTCGCTCCCTTTGACTCGGGTCCTCCTCCGCTGTGAGGAGAAGACAGCCTCACTCTGCAGCCGAGGGCTCTGCGGGAGCTCCACGTTGCTCGTTTGGGGCTCTTTTAACTTTATGTCTGAATTTGGTGCTTCAGTGCTCCCAGAATTTGGCCCTTTCCTTTCGAATGAATCAGAAATTTGGCCGCAACGGTGGGATGAGTCCTGGTCCCAGAGTGGCCCTTGGGGGCCCTGGAGCAAGTCTGTGGTCTTTAGGGTCCACCGTTACATCCCTGCACGGCCGGCCCTGCAGCATCAGGCTCACACGGGGTGAGGGGCTGTGGTGTCCTCACTCTTCATCATTCAGACCAACGGTTAATGGTGTCCTCGCCTTCGCTCGCAAGGCACTGACAGTGGTGACGGTCGAAACAGATTCTCCACACGCGGGGTGGCGTTCCGGGACGCGTTCCAATCCTTACACATGAACCTACAGCCGTGATCGCTCCTGACTCCACCCAGAGCCCGGCTGCCGCTTTGAGAAGCGTCTAGCGTCTACTTCACCTGGTTCCGAGAGACAGCGAGCGCAGTCCTCTCTACAGTCTTCTAAATTTGGGATTTAAAACCATGGAAGCAGCCGGTAGAAGGGAAAAACTTCCTCCCCACCAGGGTTTGCTGCACTCCCTGCGACTGCATTTCTTTCTTACAGCTACTCCCAAGCTGAGGCCGAGTCTCCCTAAAACACACACACACACAACCTCCTCCCTGGGGTCCTCCAGTCCCCCCGTAGGGACTGGGTTCGGATTCCTTTTGTCGAACGAAACCCGGGGTCCGCTGCAACCTGCTGGGCCGACAGGCCAGCCTGAACCGGGGGTCCGAGCTGCGGGGCAACCGTCCGTGTTTTCCAGCCTCACGCAGCTTCTACTTCTCTCCAAATTCCATCCATAGTGAACAACGATCAAGCGTCCCAGCCACAGTTTATTTTTTTTAACTTTAGGAAGTAAGTCTTCATTTTCTTCTATGTGATGCCACGTTCAAACATTTTTATTTTCTCGATGGAGACAGAGACGGAGGGATTCAAACCCCGCAGTGCACCAGAATCACCCGCACAACGTAAAACACGCCCTGACGTCGGCCCCCAGGGAGACGCTCTAGGAGGCGCGTCACCGGGGCTGCTGGACCCGGCAAGCAGTGGGCTTGCCACTTCCTCCTGCCTTCGAGGGCCGGGCCGGGCCGGGCCGGCCGCACCCGGGACCCTCACAGCTCCGAGGTTCTCTGCCCCTGAAGGCAGCGTTTGGGGCACCGTGACTCCAGCCGCTGGGTCAGCCCGTTCCCAGAGACAAATGCAGCGGGGCTTCCTGCCCCCAGGACGCCCAGGCAGCCAGAAGCAGGCTCTCGGCTGCCACGCCTGTGCCTGATTCTGCACAAGCAGGCGGCTCAGCCCGTCTGGGCTAACCGGGGGTCGCCTCAGTCTGAGCGACTCCGCCTGGTTGTGCCGCTGGTTCTAGGCTGTGGCACGACTGCCCGGTCCCCTTCGCTGACTGTCCCCAGCGGGCCACCATCTAGCAGCCGCTGTGGGCAGGTCTGTCTGCAGAAGACCTGTTCTCCTTTATTTGGCTGCTTATCATTGGAGACGAGTGTTTTAAGTTTAAAAAAAAAGAAAGTGATCTCCTTCTGTTTCTGTTGAAAGGAGCCTCCTTCGATCCTAGTGACAGGAGAGGACAGCGCAGCCAAAGGCACGAGACCCGTGGCCTCCACCCCAGTGCCCGGATCCCCCTGGTAAGATGCCCGGAGCCCGGGAGCCGTGGGAAAGAGCCTCGTCTGGTCCCAGCGTGTGCTGGCTCTCACCACAGGGGAATGCATGCTCCTTAGGTGACGCTGTTTTTAAAAATTACTTTGCAACTCCTGGTGGATGTATTCCCCCCTGTTGTCACGTTCTGCAGGAAGGAAAATAGCATGAGAGTGCTAAGTTCTCCAGCTCCGATATATTTGCAACTATGTATTAAAATCGTGATGCGGTCGTGTGTCGGCGGGTGAAAGGCGGTGTCTGGAGGAAGCACAGCGTGCCTTGAGGTCACAGGCTTTTCCCTCTCCTCCGAGAAAAGCCTGGCTGAATGGCTGTTAATTAAAGCTGTGTCTGACTCTCCCAGCTGCCCCGTGAGGAGTCCTGATCTGTGAGTGCGCCACACGCAAAGTGCCCTCCACCAGGGAGCCCTGACTTCGGTGTTTTATAAATGTCCTTTCGTAATGGAGTAATTCGGAAGCAGAATAAAAAGGCTGTTATGGCAAAAATTAGTGTTAGAACCTGAAGATGAGAGTGCAGGGTGTAGCTGGGAGGAGCCACTCGTTCAGAGAGCAGAAATGCAACCTCTTGCGTCCGTTCCGTGAGCGGTTGGGGTGGGGGCAGCAGCCGACCGGGGTCCCCAGGGTGGCGTCCACCCCACGTGATGTCCCTGGTAACTGGCGATGCCGAAGGCACGTGGGGCGTCTGCGCACCCTGGTCACCTGATTACTGTGGGACACCGGGCTCTTAACTGGAGAGACCTTCTCTGTCTGGTCAGTGGTCAGTGGTCAGTGTTGCCGGCATCCGGTGGCCTCCTGCCCTTTGCCTTCAGCTGAAATGCTCCACACACTGGGGACGCCTCACAGAGAAGGGACTCCTCGTGCTGACGCTCAGTGACATAGTATTTCCAACAACACCCGTTCTCCAATCCCAGCACTTACCGAGTGTCCCGTGATTCAGTTCAGTTCTGACGCCAACGCCTGGAGTTCGCCCCGACCCCGCGGGCTACGGGCTCAGCCCACAACCCTGCCCCTGCTTCAGGCCCTGCTGCAGCCGGGGTCCGCGGGCCACCGGCACCTCTGCCTGGCTGACCACAAATTCTGGCGTCCCCGCGACCTCCCCTCAGGTTCGATAATTTGCTAGAATGACTCACAGGACTTAGGAGAGTGATTTACGTGTGACGACAGTTTTATTCTGAAGGACACAGCACAGGGCCGGCCAACGGAAGAGGCGGTACGGGGCAAGCGTGTGGAAGAGCCTCAGAGCCTCCGCGCCTTCCTGGGGCCACCCCCCTCCCAGGTCATCAATGTGGGCACCAGCCAGGACGTTCTCGAACCCAGATAGGGTTTTGTGGACATTTCATCCCACAGCAGCCCTGTCCCCTCCTGGAGGTCGGGGGCAGGGCCAAAAACCCTCCCTCCAATCACGTGGTGGGCCCCTCTGTGACCAGCCCCCCGCCCCCAAGAGTCACCTCATCAGCGTGAACGTGCGTGTGGTCAGAGGGGCTCCTTATGGATAAAAAGATCCTCCAGTCACTCAACTGATTCCAAGAGCCTCCGGAGCTTGGTGCCAGGAACCGACTGGGGACAAAACGAACAATGTGCATTTTTGTGATGCCACAAATGCCGTCTGGGGTCTTCCGTGACCAGACCCTCTCACGTGTGCTTTGAAGGCAATAACACTTTACAACAAGTCATATTCAGGGGGTTGAGATAAACCCAGCGCAGGTGTGGCCCTGTTCCTCTGCGTCCGCAGTGCTGCGCTTGGGGGATTGCAATGAGGTGAAGATGTGACCTTGAGCACAAGCGCCTTCTAATTGTGGAAGCCGCATTTTCATTCCTTGATAATGCCGTTGAGGGCAGAGCGCTTCGTGAGATCTGAAATCGCACTGTCCCGGCTTCCGCTCCTGCTCCGTGTGGGTCTCTGCCTGTAAATTATTAAGCAGCCCCGAGTGGCAGCTGTGTGGGAGCCGTCCCCTCCTGACTCAGCGGCAGCAGGTCGGGGAAGGCAGGTGACACGTGCTCACACACTGCAGGAGAGCGGTCGTGCCCACAGGCGTGCCCACGCCCCGTGTGCACTTTGTGAGTGGGAATTACTCCCGCCGCCTGGACCCGGCATCATTTTGCACCTCTGCTCCCCTCTCTCCCTGCCTCCCTGATTCAGTTCCACCTGAGGGAGGGCTGCCCGGCCTCGCTGAGCAGTCGCCAGGTTAAGGATGCAAGCATTCAAAGACCGGCCACACCTGGGAGGGAGGCTCTGCACCCCCTGAGAAGTGGAGGAGGGACCCCGGACCTCGCAGGGTGCAGGGGTGCGGGGGCAGCGCAGGACCCAGCTCCTCCTGCGGCTTCTCTCTGACTGGGGAGAGGCTGCGTGCCACGTGGTCTGACCTCACATTCACGTCGGCATCGCACAAATGGAAGCCTCGGTAACGACACGCCTCGTGCCGACTGTGATCTGCCCCCAGGAAGAGCTCGTCTGCCCCGGGATCTATGCCTCTTGCACCCAAGGAGCGCAAATCACCCACCACGACCCCGCTCCAGGGTCGGCTAAGCGTCAGCCCGTATCCGGGGTCAACCAGGTTCTCAGGAGATAAAGCGCAGAGAGACCCACCGGAGGTGCGGGGAGGCCAGGATGCTGGCTCCCCCATCGGCCGTCCCTGCCGGCCACTTACCCACAGCTTAGGGTACTTGAGTCGGCCATCGGCAGGTACAGGTGTCCCCACCCAGACGGAGAACGTTCCAGGGGCGCTGGGCGCCTTTAACTCCCTGATGAGCAGGGACTCACGGGAGCGGGTGTTTCAGGTGAAAGCGAGGTGGAGAGGCTGCGGAGGAGCGGCTGGGTCTGTAAGACGCGAGCCAGGGTCCTGCAGGCACTGTCAGTGGGGCGGGGGGGGCCGCGGGGGGGGGCTTGGGGGGACTCCACCGAGTGGGTCTCTTCGTTCTCACGGCCGGAAGCCCGGAGCACCCTGCCCGCGTCCCAGCCCCTCGTGTCCTTGTTCCTCCCTGGATGGTGCGTCCTCTCCACGGACGCCCCCCACCAGTCAAGGGCCAGCTGGCTCCCGCCTCGGGGGCCGACCCCCCCGGAGGGAAGGCTGCCGGCTCAGGTCAGATCCGGGCATGAGACACTTTGCCCACAGAGCCTCAGCCTCAGCCTCAGAGCAACATTCTCCTAAGAAGACTGGGAATTCCTAGAGGCTTCCAGAGCCTTCCAGAGCCTTCCAGACGATGCAGTGTAGGTGGGGCGGGCTGAGCCGGCTGGGCTGACGCAGGCTCGGGGAGGACTCCTGGTCACTGCAGGGCCGTGTGGGGGCAGCAGGACGCACAGAAAGGAAGTCATAGTTTGGCAATCGATTCAAAGACTGTAACATAGAAATCAAACTCGTATTTTTGGCTAGTGTTTCCACTGTGGTTATGCTTTTTAACAAATCGGGGCTTAGAAATTGAATGTTCGAGAAGACAGCAGGGTGAGCTGAGGCCTCAAGTCAGATGTGTGTAGTTGTGGGGGAGAAACTTGCTTCTAAAAGTTACACTGTCGGCATTTTGGAAAACGCACTGGGAGGTGTAGGGACGTGTCGGTTGGTTTAGACGTGATGAGGGAGGTTCTCTGTAGGAGCCGTTCTGGGCAGGACACCTAAGTGCACGCACGTGGAGAGCCCCGAGAAGCGGGGTGTATCCGGAGCTTAACTCGCTGCGACTCTCTCCGCTGCTCTAATTGCCAAGAGAGATGGCTGGACGCGTAGCCTCCTTGAGAGCATTAAGGCAGCACGAAGCGCTTCAGGATGTGCAATCAGTGCCCCGACGACACACAAAAAAGGGAGAGAGCCGCCTGCCTGCTCTCATCTCACAGCCTGGGAGGTGCAACCACTGGACACAGTTTCAGAGTCCAGAACAATTTCTTTGGCCGCCTCTGCTCTCCAGAACTCGTTCAGCTTCACGCCTCGGGGGAGCTGTGAGGATGCCATTAACTGAGACGCAGTATTTCAAAAAGGAAAAAGAAAACAAAGTCTGCACCTGAACTTCCACACGAGGAGCACCCTCTCCACCTCGGAACGGGGAGCCTGGACTTGCGTCCTAGCAAGGGTTGCGGCGTAATTTGAATTATTCTGTTTTTCAGATCTGCTCCTGTTTTCAGGTGTGTTCATACTAGCATAGCATCGTTTAAGTCTCTTAAAGATCTGTTTCTTCTTCTTCTTTATATTTAATAGTTTGGCTTTTGACCCAAATGGCAATTTGGGCGGAATTAAACTATTGTATTATTGGGAGATACTTAAAATGTTTTTCTTGAAATTGTTGAAGACATGGGAAAACATCAAAAGTAATTGCTAAATGAAGTGTGAGACCCATGAGCTTTTGGCTCAAATGACAAAAAAAGGCCATCACAATGATTCATTACCATTTTAAATTATTTAAGACTATGGATTTATAAATAACGAGCAGTTTTCATAAAATCGAACCACTGGCTTTAGGATTATATTTTTTTCCGCAAAATCAAGATTGATGTAGTATAAGGTTTATGTCAGTGATGTGTTAATAGCGAAACCCATGTCCTTTATTTATTATTTATCGTGTTGAAGTGCAGTTGACTTACAGCGTTAGTTTCAGGTGTACAGCAGCGTGACTCAGTCATGCGTGTACATACACGGGTTCGTTTCCATATGCTTTTCCATTGTGGTTTATGACAGGAAATTGAATGCAGTTCCCTGTGCTCCACAGTAGGACCTTGCTGTTCATCTGTTTTATATGTAGCCGTCAGTATCTGCTAATCCCATACCCCCAATTTAGCCTCCTCCATCCCCTTTCCTCTTTGGTAACCGTGTTTGTTTTCTATGTCTGTGAGTCTGTTTCTGTTTTATAAATACATTCATTTGTGTCTTTTTTTTTTAAGATTCCACATGTAAGTGATATTATATGATGTTTGTGTTTGTCTGACTTACTTCACTTTGTATGATAATCTCTCGGTCCATCCATTTTGCTGCAAGTGGCATTATCCTTTTATG